GTAGTCTCTTAGGCAGTTCATATACATGGTCTTCTTGGATACTAAGCTTTTGATCTTTCTAGAGTTGTAAAGGGCCATTTGGTTATCTTTTGGATATGCCTATTTCAGTTAAAAAATTGCATCTGCAGTGTGTGTTTTCAAGAGGGTTTGGGAAACTCTATGTGCATTAAAATAAGACATAAAGACAGAGAATGTGGTGACAAAGGATGTAGAAAAGGCTGAGACACTCAATGTCTCCTTTGCCACAGTCTTTACTTGCAAGATTAGCCTTCAGGAATCCCAGGTCCCTATAACCAGTGGGAAAGTCTGGAGCAAGGCAAACTTACGCTCAGTAAAGGAGGATCAGGCTAGAGATCATTTAAAAGAACTGGACCTACACAAGTCCATGGGATGCACCCAAGACTGCTGAGGGAGTTGGCTGATGTCTTTGCAAGACCACTGCTGATAGTCTTTGAAAGGTCTTGGAGATTGGAGGAGGTTCCTGAAGTCTGGAAGAAAGCTATTGTCACTCCTGTCTTCGAGAAGGGCAAGGAGGATTCAGAGAACTACAGGCTGGTCAACCCCACCTTGATCCCTGGGAAGGTAATGGAGCCAATAATCCTGGAAATCATTTCTAAACATATGAAGAACAAGAAGGTGATTAAGCAGCATGGATTTATGAAAAGCAAGTCATGCTTTTTGACTGATTTGAACCATTTTTTTTGACTCGTCATTTTAACTTTGTTTCCTGTTTCTTTATTTCCATCTTATTGGTAAGAACCTGGTTTTAGTTTAAGATTTAATTTGAGCACTTGTTACTGAACAGAAGTTCTCAAGCATGCTTTTCTCGCAACAGTTCACCCAAGGAAACAATATTGCCTCTGTGCTCTTCTCACTTAAAAGTTTACTTTTGAGGTCAGATAGTAGTCTATAAGGAATTCTGAGTATTGATGTTGTTTCATAAAGCCTCTGAAACATCTCTTATAAAGTCATCAAACCAACCCCTCTTGTCCTTATGGTCCATTAGTAACATTTTCTATTAAATATCTCTATGCTTTCTATCCATGCTAAGTAATGAAACCTGGGAGAAGTTCTCTGATCTTCTCTTACAGTCTTAGTGGGGATGCCACTATTTGCAATACAGTTAAATGTGGTTACACACCTGGTGTGTTGTGATGTTTGCCATTTGGACTGCTTTTTTTAATCTTGTTCTTTCCCTATTGTCTTTTGTCATATGGAATATGAAGGAATTGCATTGGTTGAGGGTTTTTTTAGCACTTTTTCTGCATTTCAGCTGATCTGTCTGAAATATTTTGTCTGGATATGTACCATTACTCCAATACAACCTGGAAGAACAAAACAAAGAAATGAGTGTCAAAGATAGCGGCAATTACAGAGGAATTGAGTTATAACTCCACCACTGTTTCCTGTCTGCATCCTGACAAGAATGGTGGCTTCTTCTCATAGTGAAGCTTAAGGTGCTAAAGGAAAACCTGAAACCATTAGGACCTGTTGCCTCCAGATCTAGTAAAAAGGTGGAGTTGAGTGATTTATTAGGGACTGCCTTCACACCTTTGGGCAAAGAGGCAAGGAAGGAGAGGCCACTTTTTGCATTAAACCACATGAAACAGGAATGGCAAAATATACCTGCCAGCAGGCTTAAGAGGGATGTCGTGTAAAATTCTGCTGCTGTTTTACATCTATTTCTCTAGGAGATTAAAGAAAGGTTGGGAAATAATTCAAAGCATTTCAGCCTGTTTCGATCTGCAAGGTTACCAGCGTGAGCAGTTTTTGGTCCAGAGACTGGCTTGAGGAGTGATGGAGTTGCATGTTCTTAATCTAAGGAAAGTCACAAAGAGGGTGCTTTGGTAGTGAAGTTTACATTGAGGGCACAAATAAAGAAGGGATAGGGAAGAGCTAGCCTAAGGAGTGTAAGGACCTTACCCTTTGGGGTAAGGTCGTTATGTATAAATACAGTGGCTAATGTGTTGTGAATGTGTCTCCCTGCCATGTGTGGAATGTGAATTTAGTACAATTTACTAGGGCTTGCCCTTCCCTCACTAGAATCAACCACTTAAATGTGAATACTTCTGTCACAGGACATAATTATAAAGTGATGTTGTACAGCCTCCCAATTTAGTGTCTGCTCAGATTGGGCACTATGAGACAAATCTTTCCCAATAATAAGGAGCTAATTTCTGCACTGTTTTTCTTTTATTGAGTGCTAAGGTCAGAAATAGGTGGCTTTATTTGCAATGTTATTCCAATGTGCCAGTTTTTGCAATGAAAAGCTTGAATAATACTTATAGTATAAGTGTCCTGCTTTCCAGTTTTTATTAGTAAAATTATGTCTGAAAAAAGAAAAAAGAAAAAGCAGCTATATATCCACAATATTTTCTTTTCGGTGTGCATTGGTACCATTAATGCATTTATAAAGCTCTTAACTTCCATAAGATTTATAATTTGCTTGTAATAAAACACCATTTTATGACATATTTTAGGTTTTCTTAGGACAATAATTTTTTGCAGCAAAGCAGTAGTAAACGGGGAGGAGCAAGATGTTTTTGTTTGAAAATATAAAAATATATAAGTTTAAAAAAGCTGGCGAACTGTATGGTTGACTGGTTACTGAAATGCTGGAAGAAATGTTACTAAGTATGGAATTACGTCATCTTTCCTCTATACACAGAAAAAGCCCAAGGAAATATCATTTGTCATAAGACCTACACTGCATAATCTGAAATGCCACTTTAATGCTAAGAGCAGAAGTATTAAAAAATCCAACCAAACAAAAAGCACACAAAAACCCCAAGAGCCTACAGAAAGTAGTGGTGAGCAATTCAAATTAAATCAGTTTTTTACAGAAATAAAAGAAGGATGAGGAGGAAAAAATTTTTCAGTTTATTTAATAATTACAGTTCAAAGAGTAAAAAACAACAGTGCATAGACAGACAAGATTGAATACATGAATGTTCCTTATCTCTACAGAAAGTTATGATTATTTATAAAATCTGACACCAGAATCATAAAAATTCAGTTAGTGCCTGCCTTTGCCTGCAGATCTGAATCCCATTTCCTTGTGCAAGACTGCAAAAAAGAGCTTTACACAGGGGACTCCCACAACACATAGGAAGGGAGAGGGGAGACTAGCCTCAGCTCCCTCCAAACCTGAGGATCTCCTGTAATGATGTCTGCTGGCATCACTGCAATGGTTTCAGACCTGTGGTGATGTGTGCTTACTAAATGACATGTTTTTCTGAGGGCTCAGAACAGCCACAGACTCTGTGAGCCGGAAGCTGGACTTCAGACAACTCCTTGAGGTGGCAAAAACAAAGCCCCTGCTTAGCTGAGCTGAAGCAGGATTGATGGACTTTGTGCTAAGACTCACATTGTCCTGCTTTCTGTGGCGCATAACACTGTGTATTGGACTTTCTGTAGAGAGAGAGAAAAAGATCCAACTTCCTCAAGGCTGGTATAGACTAGAGGGAGGCAGCCACAGAAGCAATGGTTGCACTTGTCTCAAAGGAACAGGCCGGGTCTTTCTTGCTGCCCTTATTTTCAGACATTACATTCATTTCTGTGATGGACAAATGTAGATATTTTATGAATCAGAGCCGAACACATAGCTTTAGAGTGAAAAAACAGATCAAGCTCTCCATGGTTTCCTGACTACATTGAAAAAACCCAAACCAATCAAATTCTTCCTAGACAGAGGTTTACTTAATATTTCCACTGGGCAGTTAGTGTGAATTGCTCCTGTTATGAACCATCTGCAGGGTTTTCAGGAAGATAAGGTCAAGCATGTTCAAACCAGACAGAGTTGACACTGGCTGCTAGTGGTGCTCGCTGAAGCTTCATGTGTTTCAGAATAATGAAATGGCACTCACAGAGTGAAACGGAGCTGTCCTTTTTAAAGAGAAAGCAGATAGGTTTATGTATGAAGACAAAATAAGTGAGCTTCAGTGTCAGGCAGATGGAGGTTGGAGCATGTATATGTAGAGCATGGGACCTTTCTGGCCATCCATGATATTAACATGTTAGAATATGCCTCTGGTGGATCTCAGTGTTGGCTATTACTCAAATGCATAATAGTTTAGGACTTGCTAGCTGAGGGGCTGTTTCTCTCCATGTGTGGACCTCACAGTTATTTGTGACTCATAAATCCATAATAGTTCAGGACATGCTTGCTGAGGGGCTATTTTTCTCCATGTGTTGTACTCTTCCCTTTGCATGCAGTAGAGTGATTTCCAACTGATATACCCTGGTTTTGTAAGGAAGGAAATTGGTGGCAGGCTAGTCAGAAGTGTGCTGCAGCCCACTTGAATTCCTAGTATTTCAGTGTTTTTTAATTTAAAACTGCAAGGAATCTTTAAACTTCTGAGTTCACTTTCCAGCTCTTGGCCTGAAATAGTTAATCCATTAAACTACAGTTCATGTTGCAAAGCTGATTTGCAGGCTTGTTGCTTTGAGAATGTGCTTTGAGCATGGAGAGACTCCTGCTTTTGTAAGAATTTTTGAGGTTTCACTGTTTTGTTGTTTCTTTTTTATGGTAGAGTAGTTAAGAGATGAGGATAAGTGTCGTTTTTAGTGTTAACCTGAAATGTAGATATAGATACAGATATAAAATGAAACAGTTTAGAGTCAGTACTGAACATTAAAAGCTGTGGAAGGTACCGTACTTTTCCACCCTCACTAAAGTGCTTTACTGCTCTCCTAATACAGGGAAAACTCTATTTAACCAGTCAAAATATATGGAGTCAGATTACTAATCAAACACTCTTTTGGGACTAAGTCCTGGTCCTACTGCAGTCACTGGAAACAACCGATGTGGAGAACCTCAGCTGAAGTTCTGTGTACCTCTGAGGACTGGGCCTCTCTTTCCAGAGAACTGGAAAGATGTATTTGAGATTTGCCTGTGGAGGAAATTGTAGCATGACAAGACGAGGACATCACCATTCAGAAGGGCTGTCTTGGATGGAAATAGCCATTGCTCTGATTATAGCTTCCCTTCGTTCTTCCAGGTGTGTCTGCTCAGCTGACCAGCACTCGTCTCCGTCGGAACACCTCCGTGGGCACCCCGTTCTGGATGGCTCCAGAGGTTAGATTCATGTTTCAGAACATTTTGTCACTGGTATCTGAGCTGCTGTATTCTGCATTTCTGCTCTTTCTTTGTCTTTCTTCCTGACCACTGGTCTTTTCACCAAATGAAACAGCAATGCAATTTTTTTTTTTTTAAAGTGTTTAAAAACGTTTTTCTTACATGTTTGCAAGTTAAAATGGGGTTTACTTTTGAAATTACAAGCTTAGAGTGAGGGAGCAAGACACTGAATGGCTTACTAAAATGTTAAAGAGTATAGAGTACTACTATTGATACTTTCCACCCTTCCAAGGTCTGAAACTATGGGTGTCTCATTTCCCCATGGATGGAAGGAGCAAGCCCACGGTGGTACTGTGATGCATTACAGCTTCTATTTTTTGACTTCTACACCTGGAAAGTTTTTAATACTGTATATCCATAGCTGACAGTAAGAAATGGAAGAGGTTATTATGAATGAAGTTTACTATGACTCTGTGGAGATTTTTCCAGCCTGAAATTGAAGCATATAAAGATACATTTTAAGCTGAGGCAGTGAAAATATTTCCTTATAAATAAACTTATCTACTTACACTATATGTCCACACTAGCACATGCAAGTACCTCTGTTTATAGCACATGAAACTACTCTGTTTATACACGTGTTTTTATCAACACACTCTGTTTATACACATTTGTTTTTATCAACACACTCTGTTTATACACATTGGTCTAGCCATGTAACTAATGGCATACATGTTGACTTAGATCTGCAGCTAATGGGATGAAAAAATGTAGATTCATCGAGCATTGTGGATGAGCTGAAATATATGAAGTATATGAAGTGCTATGGTCTAGTAACCACGGCAGTGTTGGATCAAGGGTTGGACTTGATGATCTCGGAGGTCTTTTCCAACCTGGTTGATTCTATGATTCTATGAAGTACCTTTACTGTGATCTGATGGCAAACGCTTTGTCCAGATCTACTTGATCTGGAAATTGGCTGATTTGGCTGAAAAAGGACCCAATAAGAGATAGTGAATTCAGCTTCTGCTTTCCGGCTTGTTTCACTTCATAGAACAGTATAGCTCCATTAATTACTTTGCAGGAATAATCCATTTAACAGAGTTGTAAGGTTGCTGAGTTTCCTTCTACTTCCGCAGCCATGGGATGGAGTTTAACACCTTCATCTGAAAAAGTCAAGAATTTGCAGCCTTCTGTCAAATCAAGGAACATCTGGCCAGAGAATCCGGTGTTCATGGACACTTGCTTTCTCGAGTTTAAACATTGCTTTTTTTCAGCTTTCTAAATGTGTGCATGTCTGTTTATTTCACTGAATATCTCCATCCTGTAAGAGATTTCCCCAACTCTAGGAGTACTCTTACATTCAGACATTTGACCATCCAGTGACTGTCCCAGTCTTTTACTCCAACAGGTGATTGCCTGTGAGCAGCAACTAGATAGCTCCTATGATGCCAGATGTGATGCATGGTCACTGGGTATTACTGCAATAGAGTTGGGAGATGGAGATCCACCCCTTGCTGATTTGCACCCCATGAGGGCACTCTTCAAAATACCAAGGTAATATCTTCATCTGTTTATTTGTTGGCAGGTTAGACTGAACTTTTTTCTTAAGTGCTACTTTTCTTCAAACTTAGACTGTATAAGTTTGTGGACTTTCTTCGAATTATTTATACTAGGAGGAGGTTAGAAATACTTTGTCCAGCTGTATTTTCTGCAGGCTCTGCTTCAGCTGCGTGTACACATTGAGAAATTCAGAGCTGACTGTAACTACATTTCAGAAAAAGGTGTGAGGCCTTCTCCTGAGGCCACATGAGTGCAGGACTTAGCCGAGTACAGTATATTCTTTTACAAAGAATGACTTATGATAGAAACAGTCTTAATATGCTGCTCTGCTGAACAGGTCCCATACCTGTTTTTAGGAGTTATCTTCTGTCCTTTGAAGCAAAGGTTGTTCCACCACTCACATACATTTAGGCTTCAGCTTTTCATTAGCTTGTGCTGTTTCTGGCAGTTCCACCATTGCTGTCCTTGGGCAGTGCAAATAACAACTTCTTTTGTGTTTTCTTTGAAGCTGGAGATAAAAGTACCCAAAGTGCCACTTACAGCATTTCAAAGAACATCAATCTCCAAGTCTGTAGGGAATGATCATACCGTAGTTTGTGGACTTCACTCTAACAGCTGGAGCAGTACCACAAAAACTGCTGAGACCACATAGTATTCATAAGTGCTTTGAGTCCTTTTCAGCCAAGACACCCAAATTAGTTTAAATTAACTTTAGGTTTAAGAAATCTTGGCTGACTTGGTACTGAAGAAGAGTATGAATGCTCTTCTAACCCTTGCTTCCTATGGGAAAAGCAAACCACTGTGGTCAGTCATTGCAGCTAGGACTTCAAAAATACTTCTGGCTTATACCCTTACAAGTACTGGGCACCTTTCTGCCCTGGAGCAAATACAAGATCAATACCCTTTCATTACATTAGGTAAAACCTGAAAGTGATAGACTGAACGTTAAGCAGCACTTAAAGAAAAGCAGTTATGACAATTGATTGAAAAGAGACAGCAAGTAACCTCAATGGATTGAAAAGAGACAGCAAGTCACTTTGTCTATTGGTCATTCATTTGTCTTCATGACCATACTCTTAAAATGCCACCTCTGAATGGAAGAAGACTGTCAAGACCATTTCAAGCAAATTACACCCAGAATAAACAGCTCCAGCAATAGAAAGAAGTCATATCTATTTACAATAGGTCTGTGTTTAGACCTTCACTTTGTTTCTGATTATCTTCTGATGAATGAGAAATAATTAATAACGAGTCAGTTCCTTCAGACACTTCATTCAGCAAGTTGATTAACTCAATCTTTCTGGGGAAACTTAAAATAGAATTTCTTTTTAAAAATTCTCTTAAGAAAGTATATTGTTTCAGGCTTGAAAAAAGAAACTTGCCATTATAAGTGAATAGTGATTAATGGGTTGTAAGTTTAATTTCCATTTATTGATTTGATTGAAAAAATTATAGTGGTTCTCAGCTACACTTGGTAGATCATCTCAGTGCTATTTCTCCTTATTAGTTACATAAAGTAGGAGAACCAGTGAGGCATTGCATCATCTACCCATGCTCCTTTTACCAGTGGAAATCAATATCTTTTTTCGGTGGCCTTCTAAAACTCATTACTCAGCCTGCCTCCACACACTGTTTTTGTGAAGTGAGTAGTTTATTAACTTATCATCATACTGATCTTTGCAGGAATCCTCCTCCAACACTACAACAGCCTGAACTGTGGTCACCTGAATTCAATGACTTCATTAACAAGTGAGTAACAACTGAGACCGCTCTGATTTAATATGAAACGTGTAAATGTCATGTGTAAAATATCTCTGTATTCTTTGTGGAAATCTGTTGCAACAAATACTCTTCCTTAAAAGACTAATTTGTAAATCCAATTTGACTTCCAAGTGAGGCTCTAGATTTAAAACATGAAATAACATTTTAACACACTTGATGTTTCCTAGTTTAAAGAATATTTAGTTTTAAAATGCAATAACTTACCTTCCTGGACTCATCAATTTTGTGAAATCATATCAATTTTCAGTGCAGAGCTGTTTTGATTAAGATGGATGTATTTATTATGGAGGCACGAAAGAACTCCAGACAAGAATTTCAAAACTTAACTTTGAACCCTCCATGATCATGTGTGTTTTTCTGCCAGCACAGGTGCTTGACTAAAGATTATGAGAAGCGTCCAACAGTATCTACTCTTTTGCAGCATGATTTTATTAAGCAAATTGAAGGAAAAGAAAACGTGCTACAAAGGCAACTCATGGAATTTATTGATGTTCATCAACAAATGGGAGTCACTGAAAAGGCAAGGTAAAAGTAGCTAAAAAGTAGACTAATTGGGACAGTGTTGATACTTTCACTGTTTCAGAATGGCTAGTGCTCAGAGAAATATTCAACTTTTATGGCTTTAGCTGGCCAAAAGATAGAAAGCTTAATATTTGGGGTCCCAGTACAGCCAATGGAAAGACAGCAGCATCATGATTCACATATGGGATGAAACAATCTTTAGAAGTACCTCACCTTTCTCCTGTGACTCAAAACGCAGCCTTAGCATTCCAGCTTTTAGAAAGCTATGGTTAGGTGAAATTAATGTTTGGCATTTTCTTACATTTGCATGGTCAGCTAATGTTTAGTTTAAGCAAGTATGCTGAAAAATAGCTAGTCAAGTTCCTGCGGTAATTGGATTTTCCTGACTGAAAGAAATTATAGTGGTAGCAGACCTTGTTTTGCAAACTTCAAATCTTATATCTTATTAAATAGATACTTACTTTCTTCCACTAGTATTTAGTAATATCAGTTCTGAATAAATCACTTAGCACCTGATGGCTTTTATTTAAAATAATTGAAAATGGCTTAGCTCAATTTTACAATTGAAAAAACCCCACCCAGTGCACTGATATATCAGATGTGAAATGTAGTAGATTAGTGTTGATGTACTCCTGGTGTGACTGCTCCTGTGCTTCAAGGTAAAGCATGATGATTTTTCTTTTTTTTAAATAGAACATGAGTTTTAAAAGACATTTTGTCATAATCATCTATATGGAAAAAGCTTATTAAAATCTGCCACACTTCTTTTCACACATTTATAGTAATAACATATACAACAGTCTTCAGTTCTTATTCTGGAGAAATTTCTTTTATATATATATTATAATATTTCTATTCTCTATACTTTAAGGATAATAATAAAAATCTATTTCTAAATAATTTATTATATTCAAGTTTTCTTCAACTTTAAATGAATTTGGGATGAATAGTACTTTCTCTTTTCTGGCACTGCAGTAAAAAAATATGCAGTTATCTTAAATTTGAGCCTCAGGCTGGGTTTGTATGCTCTCTATATTGCAGACTTGACATTTGCTTAATCCAGAAAGATTCTCGAATTGAAATAAACTTATCAGATGTCAGTGCTGAGAACTAAACCAGCAACATAATCCAAACTTCAAAAAGTAGTTATTTATAAAACACAGGGAATGATATGTGGTAAAATAAATCCAAACCATCCTGATAACACTTGTGATATTGGTCATTTTAAAGCCTAAATAATTTTTAAAAGTCAAGCTTCTAAGTCAATTAGATACTGTGACCTTTTTTACCCATTTTAAAGAACTCATGTTTGTTTTATATCATCATTTTTTTTAATCCTTTTTTTTTCATGTAAATGCTGCATAAAGCAAACTACATGAACTTTTTTTTCCTGTACAATACAAACATAAAATGGCCCGATTTGCATGTGCATAAAGAAGTCAAGTGGCACAAGAACAGGATGAACTACTGGTACTTTCTCCGTTCTGTTTAGACTGTGTTTTATAAACTTAAGGCTCTTCATGCAAACTAGAGTTTAAGGGAATGTATTAATATGTGATGAAGTTACCTATGCTTTTACAGTTGTTCAAATGTAACTTGTACATAAATTTTCCCAAAGGAAAACAGAATTTTCACTTTTAAAATAATAATAATTTCTTATCTGAAACCATGCCAAAAATTACTTATTTAACTAAGTGTGTAATTCAGATGACATGGTTAAACTGATAGCTTAGTCCATATTTCAGTTTAGCAGTTTAAAATACTAAAAAATAGTATTTCCAACCTAAATGATTCTGTGATTCTGGAATTTTGTGAAATATACTGTAAGACTGACTACAGAATAGCATTTGGGGGGGTTTCTGCTGTGAAAGATAAAAGATTATACAAAGATCTTTGAATTCAGAAGCCATACTTTTTTAAAAGACTTTAGGTACTAATCATATGTATCTTCTGACCTTCAATCTGCACAGAGCAAAAAAGGTGTTAAAAGCAGTGTCTGCACAGAAGTACCATGTAAATCTGATTTACATTTAGACATGGGCTATGTAGTGACAAGTCACCTGGAAGAGCTGCATCTTAAAATCTCTTTGCTTTCTTTTCTTGCTTATGGTGTTCTGGGACTGTTTTTACACTGGTGTGTGAGGGCCCTACTGTGGAATTTCTGAACTTTCACCAGTTGCTGGCAATGTTCCTTGTAAACCTTCCTCCTGATCTCCAGGTCACGCTCTCTAAGTCCATAATTTGAAGGCATAACTCTCCTCTTTCTTGGCACTGGGAGACAAGTAGTTTAAGGGATTAAAGATCTCTCCCCTCCACCAAGGAAGAAATCCTGCTACCTATGTTGTGGTGTATAAATGGGCATGGCATATAAAGTCAATAAATTTGATAATGTCGAATTAAAGCAGAAAGTAAAGAATCCAGTTATTTTCTCAGTATGTGTTTACTCTCCTTGTCAAATTTTACTTTATTATTAAAGGTTTTGTATTTCAAAAGAAAAAAGAAAAATACTTGGAAATTAATAGCTGAGGTCCAGCCACTGGGTCTTCCTGTGTGCACTAATCCTGTTTTCACTCAAAATCAAGTCACCTTCTTTGCACATTGTGCTGAGGTGTAGTTTGGTTCTGGCTACCTTCTGCAGTAGTAGTCTGTTGATGTGCTTGTGATCTTATCTTGTTGTTTACTGCGCAGTTGATACAGTTCAAAAAGAAGAGCTCATATTACATTATGTCACATTCTCAGGGTTGGGGTTTTTTTGCAGAAGGCCAAATCCTCTGGTCCAATCTTTGTGCTCAGAAAGACGCAGAGTGGAGTCACCTTACAGTCACTCCCATTAGCACCATTGTTCCTGAGGTATTTTCTAACACTGAGGAGTCACTGATTTGTTGGGACCCAGTCAACTGCACCCTCAGAACCTTCCCAGTATTGTTATTCTAGTGAAGAGGAACCTAGATTTAGGTTCTGCATTGTACTCCATCTTTTCAAGAGATGGGAATAAGAGAAACAACAAGAGGAAGAGACCCCACCAACCTCCTGAGTAACTGAAGAAATCTTGATTTACGCTGATAAAACTTTAAATGGCAATATGCCATAGTCCTGCTCCAGGGAAGATGATGGAAGATAGTACTGGTTTTTCAGTAGCCTTTGAGCAGTGTTATAGCACTAGCATATCTTCATAGAATCATAGAATCAGCCGGGTTGGAAGGGACCTCTGAGATCATCAAGTCCAACCCTTGATCCACGACCGCCGTGGTTACCAGACCATGGCACTAAGTGCCACATCCAGTCTCATCTTAAAAACCTTCAGGGACGGAGAATCCACCACTTCCCTGGGCAGACCATTCCAATGCCTGATTACCCTCTCTGTAAAGAATTTCTTCCTAATATCTAACCTAAACCTCCCCTGGCACAGCTTAAGACCATGCCCTCTTGTCTTGCTGATAGCTGCCTGGGAGAAGAGACCAACCCCCACCTGGCTACAACCTCCTTTCAGGGAGTTGTAGAGAGTGATGAGGTCTCCCCTGAGCCTCCTCTTCTCCAGACTGAACAACCCCAGCTCCCTCAGCCTTTCTTCATAGGACTTGTGCTCGAGTCCCTTCACCAGCCTTGTTGCTCTTCTCTGGACCTGCTCCAGCACCTCAATATCCTTCCTGAACTGAGGGGCCCAGAACTGGACACAGCACTCAAGGTGTGGCCTCACCAACACTGAGTATAGGGGAAGAATCACTTCCCTGGACCTGTTGACCACACTGTTCCTGATACAGGCCAGGATGCCATTGGCCTTCTTGGTCACCTGGGCACACTGCTGGCTCATGTTCAGCTTCCTGTCAATCCAAACTCCCAGGTCCCTTTCTGTCTGGCTGCTCTCCAGCCACTCTGTCCCCAGCCTGTAGCACTGCAGGGGATTGTTGTGGCCAAAGTGCAGGACCCGGCACTTGGCCTTGTTGAACCTCATCCTGTTGGAATCAGCCCAACTCTCCAGCCTATCCAAGTCCTTCTGCAGAGCCCTCCTGTCTTCACTCCTGATCAACACTCCCCCCCAGCTTAGTGTCATCTGCAAATTTGCAGATGGTAGACTCATATCCCTCATCTAAATCATTGATAAAGGTATTAAACAGAACTGCTTGTACTACTCAAGGCTCAAAAATGCATGAATGCTAGCAATGAGCTTCATTAGAAATTCCACTTTTTTACTTTGAGCAAATGCAGTACATTTTGCTCTAAAATCGTCACTTCTTAGTGCTAAAAATACCTGTTTGCAACTTAACCTTTCCTAACTCAGAACTCAGACTGAAATTACAATGGGAATAGCATGAGAAAATACCCCTTGATACATTAACACTTTCCCATATCATCTTCACTGAAAAGTCTCCAAAACCTGCTGCTTGGAATGATGAAGAAAGCTATATGAGGTAAATTCATGTTAGAGAAGAGGTGAAGCAGGCAAAGTTGCAGATTAAGTGCAATTAATTTGGGGGGGTAGTTTGTGAGGAGAGTCACTTGCAGGACAGGGTCCTTGAGCTTGACAAGGGTCTTCATGGTATAGCTGTTAAAATGTATTATTACTGATGAGAATAATTATTAAAAATGAGCACTGCAGCATGTGCCCCAAAACCATTCTAAAAATACGCTTCTTGCTAGGCCAAAAGAGGGGAAAAAACCCTGCATTGTAAAGAGTTTTACTTTGCAACAAAAATAGCTGTCTTTGAAACGACCTTCAGAACTGTCGCATCTACACCTGACAGTCAGGCTTGTAAGACTTTTATCTTGAGTTGTTTGGCTGTCTTATTCTTGACTGCTTTTACAATAATCTCTTCAGAAATATGCAATGATTAGTACAAAGTGTATTTCCTGGGATTTGTGACTCATTCCAGAATGAGCTGTATATGCAAGGGATATTCACTGCACCTAGATTTCAGGGAATGACTCTGGTCCCCAAATTAAGAGCATCATTTTTATATCCTCTCTTAATAATTATAGGAAAAAGACCCATTCTACTGCAAAGT